GCGATAGTAAGTACAAGGTGCGAGTGATGAAGGATTTGAATAAGATAAGAGGGGCAATTAAAAGGATGCGAAGTTGACAATATATAGAAATACTATGAAGCCAGAGGGCAGATTTTGTCTAAAAAAGAATTACCCTGACAAAGAATCATCTCGTCAACTTTAAGATTCATCTCAGCCCAAGCTTCTTGAGCAATTCGAACAAACATATCTCCGATTATTAACCGCTTCTGCTCAGGATCAGTAGTAAGTGAATTAAGCGGACCCAACGGAATATTTCGGACTTCCAAGACGTTAGTGATGCCGCTGCCACCCGTACAATGGGTAATGGAAGTCTTCCTGGTAGCAATAACGGAATCATTCTGTAGGACACTTTTGTGATCCGTCGTTGGGGCTAATAAGGAAGGACTACCGGTAGAGTTCGCCTCGCCACTGCCAGTTTTTTGGAGGGAGAAGGCTGGTTCTCCGATAGAAATATCGGCGTTAGGCTCGCCACTCTGTGAAAAACGTATAGCACAAACAATCAGAAAAAGTAGATAACAGCTAAATTCATTAAATTAAAATTTTGCTAAAGCAAAAACTACGCTATTCAAAAAACCATCTTAGAGACATATAACAAATCACAAAAAAGTATAAATTACAGATGGTGAGCCAGGTGACTTCGCCCCTTTAATAGACAAGTCTTCTTGAGATTTTACAAGACAAGGATTTTGCGACTGCTTTGGAGAGGAAGCCAGAGTTGCAGGAGCCAATGAACCAGTCTCTATGCGAACCTGATGAGTAGTCATGCCAGATTGAAAACGAAATCCAGCACGGATAAGCCTGACTGAAAAGCAGATAAGGTCAGAAAAAAAAACGGCGATAGAATGGGAAATAAATAGTTCTCACCTTTGATTCCCAATTGAGATAAGGCATCAACTACCATGCTTGACTCGTTTTTCCTCATGAATCCATTATCAATATGTATCGCAATTATCTGCTCGTGTTTGACAGCTTTCGCCAATAAGGCGGCACAAACGGTAGAATCAACTCCGCCACTGAGAAGAACTAGCAATTTATTTGTTCCAACTTGTTCCTTGATTTGTGAAACACAACGTTCTACTCTATCAGGAATGACAAAGCTTGCGGTCAATCCGCCTATGTTGATGAGAAAATTATTGAGGATGCGTTTGCCAGAGGGAGTTAAATCCACCTCGGGATGAAATTGAACTCCGTATAAGCGCTTAGTATCATTAGAAATCGCTAAATCATATAAAACGAACGAGAAAATTGGTATGAAAAAATTTCAAAATGGATAGCAAAGCGAACTATCGCTAAACGAAGAAGTACCAGTAATAGTTGATCCATGCTTGCCAATTATTTTAAATCCATTTCCGATGCTAGTGCAGCGGTCCTTGTGAGTCAAAAGAACTTTTTCTTGTGTCGAAAGTCCTCTGTTATAGTCAAAAATGTAGGAATAAGTGCTTACTTAAATAGAGGAGAGGAAATATCCAATTCGACGTCGAATTGGCCATCTCTCCTCTGCTGTCCATGCTCCACTTTACCTCCACACAGAGAGTTTAACAACTAAAATCGATGTTTAGAATTTCAAACCTAAGAGATACCTGCATACCGTAACAGATACCGAGTATAGGGAGACCTGATTCGAGAAGCGCGGGATCGCAAGAAGCGGCTGCCGCTGTAGAAACAGAGTCAGGACCACCGGATATGATTATAGCTCTTTAAAGAGGATTATAGGAAAAACATGGCTACTTGTATCCTTTTTCTATTATATGGCATAGGGATACAGTAATTGGGACTATCTCAGAATGAACACATAGTTCTCTGACGCGCCTGTCTATGACCTAATTGGAGAAAATCAGTTTTTGAAAAAAAGACTAGATATTACTTTCCCATATTGGGCACCAGCATCTAAAATAGCAACGCAGTCAGTGCCCATGTATGGGGGAGAGCGCAAAACTGGCGACTGGAGGGAAAAGTCGAAGCAGCGAACAAGCCGCGGATAAAGTAGTAGTAGATAGAGAGAGAGGATAGGAAAAACCTAAGGTTTTTAAATTAAGATAAATTCAATACTTAGCAAGTATAAGCATTTAATACCCAAAAAAATTATTCGTTATATTTTGTTGAGAAATATTATGTTATATTAGTTCATGTTATTCAGAATAAACATAAAGTAATTTTACCTTAGGAGGCGGGTGGTTTGGTCATGCCACCCCTCCTTTCCTTGTTGCCCGCACTGGTATGCCTCGTGTCT